CATATGCGTGTTTATTTCACTTTATGAAATGTATATCCTCCTTTTTGTTTAGGTAGGAGCTCGTAGCACTTCCACTTGTTATTTGTCCCCATAAAATCACCAAGGTTAATTGAACTGGGAAAGTCTGACTGACACAAAACTGTGGACTGAACTTCCTTGGATGAGTGTCCCGGCTTCCCACTATACCGTTCTTGGACCTGCAGAGAATAACTGAGCAAGGAAGGTCAAGAATTTTGATCTTCTGGGCTCCTAATCTTAACTACTGAATCTTAGTGGCTTTCATGTAAATGTTGACACCTTTTGAAGATGTATTTATGCCCCAGAAACATTTGAGCACAGGCAACTGTAGAATTTGGAGCTTTTGAGGAACAATGAATCTTGCATTGTAACATGGCAATGAAAGCTCCTTCTGTGAAGCTTGCAATTTGTGATGCAGATTTAAAAGGGCAAAGTTTAGATTGCTACATCGTGGTGTTTGTTTCACCCTTTGTCCTCTCCTGTCCCCGTGTACATGTCAATGCACTTAGGTTTAAACAATTACATCTGACAAATAACACCGGACCTCTCCCACTGTCCCTCCCTGAACCCCCAAGAGAGGTCATTGAAGGAAAGTCCCCAACTCAGTTGTGTTTTACAAACTAAATGCTAAAATTGAATATTTTACTGTTGCTGACAGTGAGATGGGTGACATACGTCAGCAAAGTTATTGAGACTCTGGAAAGAGTGTAGAGAAGAGCAGCAAAGATTACTGGGGGATGGAGGCTAAAACATATGAGGAACGGTTGCAGGAATTGGGTATGTTTAGTTTGGTAAAAAGATGGACTAGGGGTGACATGATAACAGTGTTCCAGTATTTGAGAGGCTGCCACAAAGAAGAAGGGGTCAACTTATTTTCCAAAGCACCAGAAGGCAAGACAAGAAGCAAAGGATGGAAACTAACCAAGGAGAGAAACAACCTAGAACTAAGGAGAAATTTCCTGACAATGAGAACAATCTATCAGTGGAACCACTCGCCTCCAGAAGTTGTGGGTGCTCACTGGAGGTTTTTAAGAGGAGACTGGACAGCCATTTGTCTGAAATTGTATAGGGTCTCCTGCTTGAGCAGGAGGGTGGACTGGAAGACCTCCAAGGTTCCTTCTAATTCTGATGTTCTATGTTTTAATAAATAAATACATGTTATATAACAAATGAGAAACACATGAAGGTTGGTCCAGAAACCAAGTGATGATCATGCTCGAGAACAAACTCAATTTTCACTTACTTATAGTACTATTAAAAACTACAGTAGAACAAAATTCTTCATCTTCTTTGCATTCCTCCACCTTCACATTTTCTCCTTCACATTCATTTATAGGGGCAACACATTTCTGACACTTCAGAGGAGTCACTACAAATAGAAGACACAGTCATGCCAATGATCAGAGTTATCTTTGTATGCTCTGCTATCCTAGCATTTACCTTCAAGACTACTGCTATAACATGGTTTGCTAAGCAGGCCTCCCCAGTTGTTTCTGCTGCTGGGGACCTGTGGAAGGGTGGGAGATGAGGTCAGCTTGTGGAAATGGAAGACAAAATTGAGACTTAAGGGAGAGATTCACCCTCTCATACCTCTAACTTTTTAATATGAAACTGGACCTTCCCATCTTTTGGTATTTATGCTGTAGACCAATTTTATGAAGGAGCCATTTATAAGCTGGCTGAGGCCATTTTTCTGCAAGAAAATGGACTCTGAATAATTGTTGATATCAACTTTGACTCTTGGTTCCTGGTGATGCAGGATTTGGGCACATTTTAGAGGTGGTTTTCCAACACCTTCTTCCTAGAGCTGAGAGAGAGAGAGTCACCTGCCTAGTTTTTGGCCCAATGGCCCAATCTCACCTGCCGAGTTTCTGTTCCTCATGAATGACTAGACTCATATCGCCCCATTCCTAGTCCAGAACCTTCAGCCGTTACACCAAACTGGCTCTCATGAAACTCTGAAGAGATGATCATTAATCCTGCATCCACTACAAGTAGTCCTTAACTTTTGACCACAATTGGGACTAGAACCTCTGTTGCTAAGTAACATTGTTAAGTGAGTTGAGCCCAATTCTACAACCTCATTGTGGTAGTTAATAACTGCAGTCATTCAGTGAATCACAGGGCTGTTAAGGAAATCTGCCTTCCCCCATTGATGCTGCTTGTCAAAAGCTGGTTGAGAAAGTTGCAGATGGTGATCATATGACCCAGGACACTGCAACGGTTATAAACACTTGCCAGATGCGAAGTACCCAACTTTTGATCCATGATTGTGGGAATACTGTGTTTTAGGACCATGTGTAAGTCACTTTTTTCCCAGTGCTGTTGTAACTTCAGATGGTCATTGAACAAATGGACCTATGTTGAGAACTACCCGTAGTAGAGCAATTTACCAGAGACTTCCACAACTTGCCTGCCTCAACCCATTATGCTTCCCTTTCCTGAAGTCTCCTGAAGTTTCTACAGATCAGAAAGGAAATTAAATTCTTTACCTGTTGATAAGATTGAAGAGAAGAGACAGAAGACAAGAATTCCAGCAGCCCTCATGTTGGTAGAACTCAACTCAGTTACCTATGGCTCAGCTTTGCAACTGGGGAACTGTTTTTGAAGAATTAGCTGGAGGAGGTGGAAGGTAGACTCCCAAATGATTGGCTCACAGGGATAGCAGGAAGGATAGAAGCCAAATTCCACTAGGAAAGATAGTGGTTTTCTTACAAAATATACACAAAATAAACTTTGCTCTGCAATCAAATGGGGATGTGATTTTTTGTTTACTACATGTCTACATCTTATTCTGCTTTTTCTTAGGGGCTTAGTCCCACTTTGAAAGCTGATTTTTATACCTTACTATAACTCTCTATATCTGATTTGTATACTTTGCCCCTCTTGACTGTTTCGACTTAATTCCTGTATTCATTTATTTAGATGGTTTTGGACCTTTTTCTCATCCTTGTTGTTAGTTGCGAAGTCAAGCCCAAAAACTTTTTTGGGGGGGGGGGTATTTTTAGCAGTGGAGCAATCTCTCTATCTAGCCACATGTCTTTACCCGCATAAGACGCATCTCTCTCCCAACTCTCTAGAATCTCAGTGTTGAATAGCAATACTCACCACCTCTCAGTAAGACTGAAGAGATGAGACAGAAGTAGACAACAAGACCAGCAGCCATTGTGTGTGTGGAGAGTGAGTCCACTGCCTTCCTGAAGCCAACTATCAAATGCGCTGGGCTTTATAGTGATCGGTGTGTGGCTCTCCTATGGGATATTTCGGAGCAATTCCCTCGAGTGAGTGGAATGGAAGACATGAGTGATCACCAGATCCCACGTAAAGTAGAGCAATATCAATTTGCACAATAAAAATGGCAGCCTCGATGGAGAACCATCGAGTTGGTTGAGGCGATGCACGCGTCATTCCGTAGCCCTGTTCCGGTGAAATGGAAGCCGGGGAGGGGGGGACACATATGAGTAATGGTGAGAGGCTGCAAAAGAAGTGGGCCAGCAGTGTGACAGGTATTTGAGTGTGGGAGACCTGGCTGCAGCGGTCCTGAGGTAAGCAGGTAAGACCTACCCCAAAAATAAGACTGAGTGCCTTTTTTTGGAGACAAAAAATAAAATAAAATAAGACCAGGTCTTATTTTCGGGGAAACATAGTAGTACAAATTGTGAAAGTTAGCCTGCTAGCAGTTGACAACTGCCAGTACCATAGCACTGAGTTTCTCAAGCTTGTCAATTTTAAGATGGGTGGACTTCCACTCTTAACATGCTGGCTGGACAATTCTGGGAGTGGGTTCACCCATCTCCCCCTTGCCAGAGAAACACTGCTATAGATGTCTGGCTTTTGCAATAGTGACCACTAGGTTTCCAAATACAATTCAAAGTGCTTGTCATAGTCTTTAAAGCCCCTTAAGATTTCACCTAAGGACATCCAAAGGACTGCCTTCATAGGGATTTGGGGGAGTCAGGAACAAAATGGATACTACAGGTGCAAAACGCAGCATCTAACAATAAAAAAAACACCTGTCCATATAATAATAATAATAATAATAATAATAATAATAATAATAATAATAATAATAATAATAATAATAATAATAATAATAATAATAATAATAATAATAGTAAAGTTGGAAGGGACCTTGAAGGTCATCTAGTCCAACCCCCTGCTCAGGCAGGAAACCCCATACCATTTTGGACAAATGGCTGTCCAGTCTCTTCTTAAAAACTTCCAGTGTTGGAGCATTCACCGCTTCTGGAGGCAGGTTGTTCCACTGGTTAATTGTTCTCACTGTCAGGAAGTTTCTCCTTAGTTCTAGATTGCTTCTCTCCTTAATTAGTTTCCACCCGTTGCTTCTTGTCCTGCCTCCAGGCGCTTTGGAAAATAGCTTGGCTATTTATATGAGGAGCTCTCCGTCATCATGTCCTCAAGATTCAATGAGACTGACTTTCCAGAAATAAATCAGATGAGCTAATTCTGCTTTATTGTAAAGCCACATTGACAGAATCTTGCAGGTCTGAAATTTCAGTTCTTCCCCCCCCCCTCCCAAGTCTCCTTCACAGCTTGAGAAACTTAGGAGAGTCTCTTCTGAGCTTCTGGCCCTGTCTGTTATCCAGCTGTGGGCTATGCCGTCTGATATGTGACTGTTCCTTGGTTCAACGGTGTGAAACTTGATCCCGTATTGTGACGTATTGTGACATATCACTACGTTTTTTGCCTTTGTGGAGCTGGAGTGGGCATGACCTGTGTGTGATGAATTCGGCCCGCCGGCCGCCAGTTTGACACCAGTTAGATTGTGTCTCTTAACAGTCTCCGAGAGTCTTTCCCATGTATCATTACAAGATGACATCCTAAACATACTGGCTTCTCAAGCTTCTGAATGAACACGTCTTCTCATGCCGAGCAACATACATGGCGCTGCCCTCATTTTGTTCACTGTTAAGCATGCTTTCACTATGTGATGAATCTCCAGGCAACAAAAGTTCAAAATTTACATACTTACAGAAATTCTGGAGAATTTCTGGGAAATCTCTCTAACAATGGTCTAACATGAACCTAATTCTTTTCCCCTTGGAAGCAGCACCACAACATTGTCATCCAAGAATATTCCAAAGTTCCCAATATTTCACAAGTGTAAAACCTGTGCTTAGAACGGGGCACTTTTCAGAGTCTGATTTTATTATTCCACCTTTACCCTTTTTGACAACTAATAGCAACCAGTTGCAGGCATTTATTTATTCAGTGCTTTTTTTGTAAGAAAAAAAGGTGCCAGAACTCACATCTTGTTTATCTTTTATTTAAAAAANTTCCAAAGTTCCCAATATTTCACAAGTGTAAAACCTGTGCTTAGAACGGGGCACTTTTCAGAGTCTGATTTTATTATTCCACCTTTACCCTTTTTGACAACTAATAGCAACCAGTTGCAGGCATTTATTTATTCAGTGCTTTTTTTGTAAGAAAAAAAGGTGCCAGAACTCACATCTTGTTTATCTTTTATTTAAAAAAATATATATTCAGTCCTTAATATAAATTTACCTTTCGCACATAGTCAATCATTGTACACACACCCACACACATCAGTTGTGTAACGAAACGTAACGGTCTCCACCCGCAGTAAGTACTCAGCACGTGGCCACACGACCAATCACAAGCTGAGCAGTGCCACAAGCCGAGCAATCTCATCACAACCAGTGTGGATGAAGTATGCATGTATCAGACTCGACACACAAGCAGCCCGCATGCACCATTTTAATGATTTTGTGCCAACATGCTATGCTTCACAGGGCAATTCAAGTCCACGTGGACTAAACATCAAATTTTCAAAAGTTACTTTTAAAACTTGGAAAATCTGTCAAAAAAAGGTGCCAGAACTCCGTTCCCGTGCGTTCTATGACAAAAAAAGCACTGAATCTAGTAACTTTAGTAGGACTGGGCAAGAGGTGGTTGAGAAAGTCTTGTGAGGAAACCTTGGATGGTCCTGGAAGCCCTAGCAGAAGATACCAAACTAAGCCACCACTCCTCAGGGTGGTGCCTTTGCAGAGATGAACAAATATTCCATCTGATTCTTCCTGCTCCCCTCATGTGCCTTGTGATCTCAGCCAGAGAGAGATAGACTAGGTAAATGTGGTGTCAGAGATATTCTCCTACCTAAATAGAGACACAGAATGACCACTGGGAGGCACAAAATCATAGAGAATGGAAGCAAGTTTCAATTTCCTGTTGGCTTTCCCACTGAATTTACTTGTGGGAAATTCACAGTGAGCAGCAGAAATCTTCCTTTCCTTTCCTTTCCTTTCCTTTCCTTTCCTTTCCTTTCCTTCCCTTCCCAGCATGCAGGTAATTAAATGGAAGTGCTGTTGGGTGGGGGATGTAATGAAAGATTGTGCAAGTGGCCAGAAGGTTTGAGGAACATTGAAATGATGATCATGTCAGTGTGGCCTAACAGCCACACTGAATTAGTAGCAGCATTATAGCAGGAGGAGCCTGGCAGTGCTTAAGCAGCCACAACTGTCCATATTTCCCCAAATTCAATTCCCTTGGGAGTCATGGATTAGCCCCATTGTGTAAGTTAGCCCATTTGAGGTATATTGATTGGAAAAAAATGTCTTATGATGTATTCTTTCATCCAGTTAACGATTACAGAGACAAGAGAGAGAGAGTGTGTGAGAGAGAGTGAATAAGTGAATGAGAGAGAAAGAGAGAGAGACCGAGAGAGAGAAAGGGAGGGAGAGAGAGAGGGAGATGTATTATAGAACTAGAATACCTGGAAGATGTATGGATATATAGATGGATGGATGGATGGATGATTGGATGATTGGATGCATGTATGCATGCATGTATGTATGTATGTATGGATGGATGGATGGATGGATGGATGGATAGATGGATGATTGGATGGATGATTGGATGGATGAATGAATGAATGAATGATTGGATGGATAGATGGATGGATGATTGGATGGATGATTGGATGATTGGATGAATGGATGATTGTATGTATGTATGTATGTATGCAGTGAGCCGGTGAAAGCTTGGATCCTAATTTATTAAAACTTTTATAGTTTTTTACCTTTCCTGGTGTTCACTTTTGTTTATATTGTTACCATAGTATGTATGTATGTATATATGTAGGATAGATGGATGATTGGCTGGAAGGACAGAAGAGTATAGCTGAACTGAATTGAGAATGGGTGACGTAAGAGGAGGGAATGACCACTTCATCAAAGCTATCTTTGATGAAACCCTCCTTAAAAAATACACAGACACAAATACTTTCATCACCACAATTTATTTTCATTACGATTGAGTGAAAACAGAATGCTTAGAGAAAAATCATATTCCCCTCAGCTAGTAGCCCAAAACACAGCATTTCTATCCTCTCAGGTCTGCTCCTTCGTATTCTAAATTAATACCAAGCTCTTAAGATTGCTTAACCCCAAACCACTGTTACTCTTACCATTAAAGCTCTAATTTCCTTCCCATTTTTACAAATCCTGAAAGGCAAGGGAAAAAGGTTATATTCCGACTACAGGTTCCAAAACTTATCAAATGTGAGT